TCGATGCTGAGATCGTGCAGTTATCATGTTATGGTCATTTGAATTAATGCCCACAGCAAGCTTATAAGCATAAAATATGATATATGTATTTTAAAATGTGAATTCAAATCAGTAGATGATATCCTAAAGTTCTGGAAACAATGCTGAGGCACAGACATGAAGTGATTCATCCACGGTTCCCAGAAGGAAGTGTCTGACAGACTAGCTGTCAGATTGTCTGATACCCCATTGTCTACATGGAAAAGGGTTTAAACTTTTGTAACATATAAAATAAAGTTTGTGGAACGTTACTTACAGTTTGCATCTTACTTTGTAAATGGATCTACTTAGAAAATAGTCATTAGACACTAACCCCACCCTTACTACAATTCTTGATTTGAATTTTTACCTGATATACAGGAAGACACAAATGTCTGTCAAATGACACTTTGCTTATTTTGACATATATTCAGTTTGTGGCATATGACATGTCTTCAAGCCCCATTTTTAGTGACTTCAGAACAATATATCCAGGGGATTAAGGTACAGATTCATTCATACAAAATTAAATTAATAAATACAGACATTTTAGCCTAGTATCCTTATAGGATACAAGTATGTAGTAGGATTGAATTCCCACTGTAATAACTTCTTAAATCCCTGGCCCACCACAACCAATTTTGGTTTGGGCGCAGGGCACTTAAAAATTCTTCATAGAAACATATGCCTGCAGTTAGAAAAAAATGTTGTAGAGTAATGCCCATTTTAGACAGGAAGGAGTTATATAATACATGAGGTAAATTTCAAGATGCAAATCTGTAGAAAACCAGGCATCCTTAGCTCTACATTTTTCAAGTTATATAGAGGACTTAAAAAAACTCCTGTGTAATACACTTAAAATATTCTGTGTTACAAAGTAACTCGGAAAATTTCTACATAAACACTAAATGATTCCTTAAGTTATTTCACTAGTTTCAAAACTGGCAATGCACAACTGTACTAGCAGTTTTATAAAGTAGCCTTTTTCTACCCAAAAGGATGTACATATTGCTTCTAGTGCACTTGCAGTCTAGGACAATTGTTCATTTCGTTGAACATATTCACTCCTTATTGAAGGCTATGAATAATGCCTTCTTGTGAGAGTTTAATTAATAAGCAGTATAGACTTAACTGATCCAATTATTTACATTTTCTAGACTTTCTTTATCTGACCCTAAGTGCTACTGGTACCTGAAAATGACAGTAGTGCCTTTGTGTTTAAAATGGCAATGCTATCAGCTGCATTCATACAGGAGGAGGTAAACACACCATCACCATAATGTTTCATAAAACCAGTCCTCGGATTTTGAGCCCAGCTGACAACAGCTGTTAATTCTAATAATCCAGAGAAAAAGTCCAGACTGATGCTTAGAGGACATGTCACTCGTGACACGTCAGAGCCTTACAAGGCATGTAGATGAACACATTAGCAGGTGTAGTCTTATTGAATTTCTGATCCCAGATTCTATCTATGTGCAGTTGCATTTTGCTTGCAACATGGATACCTTCATCAGTGATTACATAGTTGAGTTATGTAATTTGGTTCATAAATTCGAAATTACAAAATCAACAAAGAAGCCTCAGAAAAAGCAAAAAACCAAAGTAAATGCAGCTATTATTATTAATCCAAATTACAAAATCTTTTTTACACAAAACCAATGAGAGGAGCAAGTTTTCTTGTCCACGCTTTCATTAGAAGATGTTTTAATTAGCATAGATTTACTTTCCTGCTTTTCTTCCCACTCTTTGCTTATGCAAAACAAACTACTCCATCACTGAATTGAACTAATACAGTTGACTTCAACATTTCAAAAGCAATTTGAATATGCTCAAAGTGCTGCAAATACATTGTTTTGTAAGAATAACTTTAGTGTTTGTAAAAGACATCTCACGAATCTCCACTTTTCAGACAGACAACTGCTATAGAGTGAGCCTTTCTAGATTTTCCTGCCAGCATTCCCCAGTGGTGAGCGCTCTAAAACCCAGCTAGGAAAAAGAGGATGCTCTTTCCCTCCCTGTCCACATTTTACCAGCTGTCACTAGCACTGAAAACGATATCAAATGTGCTAAAGATTTTCCCTGTACTCATTCATTCAGTAGAGACATTGCAAAACTCTTGACTTCATACACTTTGCCAAAACTAGTTCAGAGGTCACTAAAGAGCATGACATATAAACTTGAGGGACAAGATTTATCAAGAGATACAAATGCCTCCAGAACACAAAGTAAGACATTCAGGCTATTCCATCCAAGCAGATTTTGCTAGAAATTCATAATCTTAGTAGCAAATATCTGCATATGTATAGTTATTATTAGGAATTGTTAGCTTTTCCTTCCTTTGAAAATTACTATTGCATGAATACATAATATCATCCAGCTCTGCATACCTTACGTATATAAATTAATCCCTAGGGTCTGTTAGAAATAAATAAATAACATTTATCTAGGGAAAAAAAAATAATGATATCTAGTTTCATATGGATTTGGGTCAAATCCCTACACCCCTCTTCAGGTCACAATAATCCCAGGTCCCATCCATCCATGGTTTATTTCTCCTCCTTCCCAGAATATGCTGCAGCTTGTTCAGAAGCAGGAATGCACCACTCAGCCCCACAAGCATCACAGAAAATACTCTGAAACTTTTTCCTCAAAGAATGCCTTTCTCTGATTTCTGTCACTCAGCAACTCTCAATTTTCATTAAGGAGTTAAATTGTCTTAGAGCTTTCTAGCTCCTGTCCAACTTTTCTGAAACTGAACTATGTGCTCAATGTCGGTCTGACACATGCTTACATCTTGCTTTCTTAGGAAAGCAGGCTAGAGATTCTGCAGCATGGAAGGAACTGTCTGTAGGAAGCTCTAATTGGGCTGTAAATAAGACTACCAGTTACATGGAAATTAAAGCAGTAAGAAAATTGTTTATTTGTCAGGTATAGAAATTGCTCCAGCTGTCACGAAGTGACAAATTTACATTTTTAAAACCAAGTTAATATATTACATAATAGCACACCTTCAGTTTTGAGAAACAATGAATTTTAGTGCAGTGAGACTAAAGAGAATAAATTATTAGGATGTCTAGAGCAAAAATTTGTTCTCTATTAGCACAGTATCCAATCTTTTAAAAATAGTTAAACATCTCTTCCTTCTCATCTTTTAGGAGATGTAGCTTTGTGTTTGAGTGTGTGTGCACATGAGCGTGTGTGTTTGCATGTATGGTTGTGTATATATGGAATGATCTTGGGAAGAGGCAGATCTAAAGAGAGTTTATTTGTAAGTCTTGTTCCTTACCCTGCGGGAGCATATTACAAAGTTTAAGTCCCATGTCTGCAGAAGTTCTATTATGCCTGCCTTGGGCCTCTCCTTCATTTGCCAAGGATTTTACAGCTGTAGTAGAACTTGGATATCATAACATTCACATGCTTAAATCCTGTTTCACAGGCGGCTTTGATTATCAGGACAGACTTTGAAATCAAACTCTGCATTCTGTGCACAGCCAGCTGAACTCCAGGGCAAAGTTATCACTGTGACCTGTTGCTAAATACATAGGACTGCAGTGTTTTACAACTGCATGAGTTTTTATAACACAGAGCTTTGTTCCTGAGGATGAGTTGCAGCAATGAAATATGAAGGTCAGTGATGTAAATATTGTCATGGTGTGGAGTGAGGCTGATAAAAAAGGACACAATGTACAGCTAGTTATGGAAAAAACCGGTTTTGTTATTGGCAGACTGAGCTTCACTATTAGACACAGTGCTCTGTTGTGAAGCACTCCCCTGTTCCTGAAGGCAAAAATCAAGTTCCATTTAAGTTTACTGTCATCCAGATGCTAAATCAATGTCAAACAAGTGCTAATTTTGGCAGGCCATTTAGGATTCGGTGTAATCCAGATGCTAGTTCGGTTTCATCTGGATGCCAATCTTGACAGGGCACTGAGAATTCAGGAAGAAATTAGTATTGTTCCAACTTCATACATTCATATGTTCAGATGAGAAGACTAAATTGTAATTTGACTCTTCAAGTGTGATGAAGCTTTTTAGATGTAGAAATCCTTGCAATTACCTTAATTAAAAGGACTTGAGATACTTTAGAGCATTGTTTTAGCTCTGAGGATGACAAACGATACAAAAGGCATCAGGGAGCTGCAGCAGAGACATTATAGACATATTTTCTTTATCTTTTAACAGAATGAAAACACAGAGCGTAAGTGTTGTCTCTTACTGTGCACAGGCTTATGAATGATCCTGTAAACCTTAATTCACAGATGACATTAGGGGGAACTGTTTTTATCTAATTCCTCATGTGAATGGTTAGGTAGAAGGCAGTAGTTTGTGGAATCACTTTTACAGAGCAACTGTGTATTGAGCACTGTTGGGATAATTGCACACATTAGGATGTGTAACATACTCATCTGTATCAATGAATGATGATGTTTAGGGATAGCTACAGCTAAGGCAGAAGTAATCTCACATAATCTTACTTGTTTAAGGTAATTTTTTTTTTTTGCAGATACTCAGTTGTACTGTGCATGAATTTATTTGTGTATATCAAATTCACAATTGATAGTGCAAGTGCTTGTTTTGTGCAACTAGAAAGGTGTTCATGAGTGCAAGCACATACACTTACATTTTAAAGTTCACATGCCCCCTAGAACTGGCTTGCAGTTCTTCATGGTGAATTCTTCTGGTGCTTATGGCTGTAAAGGCAGATCTTGGTTTTTGCCCTTAGACAAAATTCTACAGCCAATATATAATTCCAGATATCTTCAAAACACACATTGAAAAAAACCTCTTATATGAAGACTGGTTTCTATAGGCCTTGGTCATGCTAAACTGCCACTCCCAGTTTTGCTTGTATGTGCTTACAAATGGGATACTGAATGCTACCATACAATTTTAAATAAATGTTTTCAGTGAAGCCCAATTTAAAGGTTTCCAAATGTATCTTTTAAATAGCAGATGAAAAGTAACAAGCAGTTCACATCCATCAATATGATGAATAAACATTTATTCCCTATAAAATTCCTTACTCTAATAATGCATCTAAATATATTTAATTCTAAAATCAGAAGTATTTATAACTGTTCTTGACTACTGGAAGCCATTCACATCCCAGTGCAAAGCAGGCTGTTTATAATCCCCAATAGTGCATCTCAAGTTCCTTCTTAATATGTTAACTTAAGCTGTGCCTAAAATTAATCCTTACTTAAAAGCCATAAAGTAGAACACATCTGAGTTCCTCCCTCCAGGGGCTGATGAGTCAGCTTAGACATCATGGGAAGATGAATTCCCAACTGAGCTGTTGTAACCTCTGGGAGATGTCATGAGCAGACAACGGGCTGCCTGCGGTTCCATCTAGAATGATCTGAAAAAGAATTAAAAAAAAAAATCTTGCTTATTTGAGCATATTCATGTTTTGAAACAATCCAGCATTTCATAATACCAAAGCAGTAGGTTAAAGTTTGGATATGATCAGTTCCTGGTTTAGGTAAACAGCTAACTAGATAACACAGGATTATTCACAAATATTTGACCATGTGAATAGTGAATGAAACCTGTGACCCTCCACGTCAATAAAGACAAGCACATAAGGACTAAGAAATTTGATGTCTAGGTAGGGCAATGTGCCTGGCATGCAAATCATCTCGCTCTGTACAGGGAACACTGTCTTAAGACTTCATTACAGATGCTCAGAAAACTGTGAGAAATACAATATATCTTAAAATAACTCATTGGTTATGACCAAGTGGTATTGGTGCCTAATCTCTATGATTTATCACCAAACTTGTTTTGCATCTGCAGATAGTAGATAGAGCTGACTAATGCAGACACTTAACATCACTATCCCAGTATCTTTTTTAAAATTGCTGCTGCCATCTGGCCACCCCTAAATATTTACTAAGAGTTTTAAACCTCTTACAGGTGAAATGAAAGCCTATGTTTGTCAGAACATTGCATCTGATTTCCTCCCTTCTCTCTCCTGATATGGCAGTATTTAAAACCAATCACAGAGTTGTCTTTTCTTCTCTGCTTTAGGTGTTACTGATACCTGCTGAAAAGAAAATAGAAACTCCAACATAGAAGTTAATTCTTAACTTTTCCTCAGTTTTAATCACTATCAGGTGTGTGTGTGTGTGTTAGATTTATGATCTGGAAACCTTAGCAATCAATAAGAATTTAAATTAAATTGACAAGAAATGTCAAAGATAGCAGTTTTCCAGGAGTTACTTAAGAACTCTACAAGTATTTTATTCAAAAATAAAAAGAAAGATCTTGTAACATTTTAAATCTTGTTAAACCCCAGCAGATGACCCAGCAGAGTCCTAATGAAGCTGAGATGGGAAGTGCATGTATAGTGGACTAGAAAATGTCTCTTAAAAAACATTTTGCATTTCTGCAAATGCATTTGCATTTCTATGGTACGATACTGTCTGGCTCTCAGACCAAGACACTACTGGTGTTGAGAGACTACTGGCTCTCAACACTAGTCTCCAAAATCCATGCAGTTCTTTGTGGATGCACTTGGGACATGTTCTATGTCTTTGCACAAGTGAGATTTTCTCTCAAGGTCTCTGGCTACATATGGAGGGACATCTTGGGACTTACCTAGTCCTAGATTCCACAGTCTTTGAATTCAGTCTAATAGTTTCTAAGAGAGGATCCCTCAATCAGGATGAATTTAGGATCCCTCAATCAGAATTAAGTTAGGAGAAGATTTAGGATTGGTGAGGTACAGTATAAGGAGTAATGCATAAAACTTTTGTTTGCCTAGTGACACTGTCATCCTTGTGCCTCATGTGTACTTTCCCTATTTCTTTGTTCCCACTCTGGGATACAATCAAATTTGTACATAATCAGAAAATAAAAAGGACAGAAAACATAGGAACCACTCCTACCTATAGCCCCACGCTATTCTACTGCTGTGAGTGACATTTCATACTCCCCTACAAAAGAAATGCCTTATGTCTCTCAAGTAGTAATTTTTCTTTCTAAATACTAATGTAGTTAGACTTTAAGGGCCTTCTGCTAATTTTGATGAACACCACGGACCTGTTTCTAAATGTAAACAAAGTGCATTCCTTTGTAGCAAGGACAGAATCTCCTCATGTTTGTGAAGAGAACATGGAAAAAATGTGTCAGAGTATCAGAAGCAATGAGTAAGAGTTTCAGAGACATCTTAGTCACTTATGGATCTAAGTAGTGACTTCTGATCCCTGCTACTTAGGTGTAGCTTCTGATCTCTGGCAAGCTTAGGTGTTGTGGCCCTAACAGATCCATGTTCTGACAGGATGATTTTCGGAGCCTGAGTTCTTTGTTTTTTTGTGCTGCCAGTGGAAAGAGATGAGCACCCTGTGAGGGTTGTGCAGTGTCTGCATTGCAGAGCTGTCTATCCAGTAACTGTATAAGGAATTTACACATGTTAACAGTGCAACTCAGTGGTCCTACAGACTGAATGTGTAGCTGCCTGAAGTCATGGTGCTTAGAAAACAGGAGTCAGAAGATTTTGTACAGCTCACTGACAGGGGTCTGCCAACGTACAAAGAAGACCCACATTGATGGTTCAGATACAGTAACAAAGCTGGCAGAAGCAGTGACAAGTGTGACATTATGCTCCTCATTGCAGAACACACCCGGGACACAGAGCTGGTAGGTCCTCTTTATCCGCAGGTGTAAGTACCACTGCTTGCCTACGAGGAGAACATGCTCCCTTACTAGGTTATTCCATATGTCTGGCTAAGGGTATTTCTCTATTTTGTTTGTTGAAGTGGATCTTCCAGACAGCAAAGAGTGTCCAAAACCAGGAAAAACTAAAGGGGAGATTTCCTTTCTTGGTCCAGTCATTCACACATTGTCATGTCAGCATTTTTCATAGTTTTATTTATTAAATTAAATAGTGAAAAAAAATTCAAACGTGGAATAAAGAATTCTGCTGATTTCTCCTCAGCTAGATATTATGAAGACTACTGGAGGCAAACATAGTTACACTAACTAGCAAAGAAATTAGTTAACAATGAAAGAAATAGAACAAGAAGAGATTTACTTGACTTTGGTCAGCCTAGAAGTTTACTGTCTAGTCTAAATTCATTTCCACACCTCACTTTGTAGTCAGAGGGAAAAGACAAATACTTTCCAGAGTTATTGATCCCATCCACTCTCAAAATCTATTTAAAGATTAATTGTTCTTTTTCTCTCCACTTAGATTTACAGAGCAATTTGTTTGCAAAAATATTCAAGCTGCAACTGAATGTATAAAAATATCAGGCACGGCAACTTATTCTTTATGGACTTCATGAAATTAGTATCTCTACTTGAAAGTAAAGCAATTCAACTAAGAATTTAAAAAATACTGGAATAAATATCTATACTGAATTTGTTAAATCATAGAAATATCTCTACTATCTTACATATTGCCCTAACATTAACATGTTGTAGATGTTAAAGAATTCTGTGTAAAAAAATCTTACAGCAAAGTCTTGCAAACATACAAAATCACTTCAACGTCTACAGTGCTTCACTTATTATGTACATCATATTTGCTTTCTTCTTCACTCTCAAGCGCTAATTATTATAAAGATAATATAATTATCTAATTTTTCATGTCTTTTATAGTGTCTTGAAATACACAGCATCATCTAGGGTACTCTATGAGTTCAGTTTAATAAAAAAGAAATTGCTATATTAAGAAAACTATCATTGGGGATTTTGAGACAAAGATAGAATGGAATGAAATAAAATGCTGACATTCTTTCTAAATTCTTGTATTTGTAAGAAATATGCAAAGAAACAGTCACTGAGGACTTATGCTTCTTACGACTTATATACTGTTAAGGAGAAGTAATCTCTGAAACTGAGTTATATCAATAAAAAAATTACTTATTCGTAACACCCTTCAATGAAAATCAAAGCATGAAAACTAAAGATTTAAGGAAGTGCTCTTAAATATACAGGATCTGATCTCTTGCACATAAATGGACATTTCTATGCTGATATTTAAAACTGACCTCATCCTGTCCAAAACCCATGAGGCTTATTTTCCTTTTTATGTTTCTTTTGGAAATCAGGGACAGGCATATGTAAGATGTGAGTGTCTGAAGGTAAAGTGTCTTGGGTACTAGTAACTGAAATGTATGCAAAATTAAAACCTTGTGGCTCTGAAAATAATAGAAGAGATTAAGATAAGCAGGAAATGCTAGAAGCCATTAAAAAAAGCACTTGAAAGGGATTGCTAGAACTTCTGTCAGTAACAGAACATAAATGAAAGACAGATGCTTAAACTAAAAGGTCAAGATAAACAGTACCCCACACATTTCAGAACCTGTTTGCTGGCTGTGATCTGAATATTCCTATCAGAAGTCTCTGCAAATCAAAATAAATATTTAACTTGTAAATCTGTGTTCCTACACTGCTTTGACATTCCCTTTCCCCTCTTTTTTTTTTCCCCTAAAAGAACAAAGAGTTCTTATCATCAATAATCCTGGAAAGGAATCAAGCTCACTCCAGAGTTTCCAAGTTACCAGAAACTCTTTGTAAAAAGGCGGTACAGGCTATTTAGAAATTACAGAGGGAATGCTTGATTATCTGGGAGCAATCTAAGGAGTTCTCTGAGCCAACAATTTTCCCATTTCCTAAACAGAGAAAAGGTATTTTTGAGAGAATGGTGTGTGTAAGAGCATCATGCTTTGTTTAGAGCACTGAATGCTACTGAAATGTAGTTAGACAACAATCAATAATGGGAATAAGCACTGTAAACTGCAGTCTATTTGACGAAATAGATTGCAGAAAGGGACCCAGGGGTCCTGATCGATGGCAAGTTGAATATGAGTGAGCAGTGCCCTGGCAGCCAGGAGGGCCAACCATGTCCGGGGGGGGAATCAGGCAAAGCATCACCAGCTGGGCGAGGGAGGGGATTGTCCTGCTCCTGCATCTGGGGACGCCTCATCTGGAATATTGTGTGCAGTTTGGGGCACCACAATATAAAAAACATAAAAATATTAGAGAGTGTATCAGGAGGAGGCCAACCAAGGTGAAGAATGGTCTTGAGGAAAAGCCTTATGAGAAGCAGCTGAGGCCACTTGGTCTGTTCAGCCTGGAGAAGAGGATGCTGAGGGGAGACCTCATTACAGTTACGACTTCCTGGTGAGGGGAAGAGGAGGGGCAGGCACTGATCTCTTCTCTCTGGTGACCAGTGACAGGACCTGAGGGAATGGTGTGAAGTTGTGTCAGGGGAGGTTTAGGTTGGATATCAGGAAAAGGTTCTCCCCCCAGAGGGTGTCTGGGCACTGGAACAGGATCCCCAGGGCAGTGGTCACAGCACCAAGCGTGACAGAGTTCAAGAAGCGTTTGGACAATGCTCACATGCACATGGTGGGACTCTTTGGTTGTTCTATGCAGGGACAGCAGTTGGACTCAATAATATTTAGGGGGTCCCTTCCAACTCAGGACATTCCATGATTCTATGATAAAGGAAAAAAAATTAATTTCCTTGTGGAAAACAGTACTTATAGCCATTACTGTCCATGACCTGATTGTTGTTGAATAGCTGTTGAAAGGAAGGTTTTAAATATAAGGACAATATGTTACCTAGGTGCAGAGGGAAACTAAGCTGTGACCTACAGATGAAACATGCCTGATGTAGCCCATCTGTTAGAAGATAAAACATAATTGGCAACTTCCTGTATCCACTGTAGCAATTTGACACAAGCAAGTGAATTTGCTCCAGAAACGTGACCTGTCTTTTGCTAAAATAGAAGAGCTTTTAAGTCTAACAGCTGTTTCTGCCTTGCTTTCTGCAAGTGTGACCCCAGCTCTGTTGTGAGCTGTATTAACAGAAGGATTAAGTCATTAATATCTTATATCTTATCTTTTATATCTTGTTTTATTGTCATTTTTCCTTTTGAGGAACCTACATTTTTGTCATGTTGAAGAAAGTCAGCAAAACTAGTGTGTAAATCCTGCAAATTTCCTAGGGAGGTGGTTGTTTCAGCTGATCAAGAATCAGTGTTTTAAATGAAGTTAATCACTGCATAATAAATACCTTAAGAAACATATTGTGCTTCAGGTTATTAGTAACAATCTAAGCACTGATGTGAATGGACTCACCCTTCACTTACTCAAGGCAAAACTGATACTCAATATCTCTAGTCATTTCTACTGAAATATACTGAAGAAACATTTTGGTAAAATTTGATAATATTAAATTTCTTGAACTTCAGCCTTTTGTTAAAAGAGTATTCCACTGCTATAAATATGTGGATACTTGAGCTGTCATTTTAATAACAGTAAGTCAAAATACCAAAAGGAATTATCCCATTCTAACTGAAAAAGGGTTATCTGTAACAGATGAAAGTTATAGTCAGCATGAAAAACAAAAGGCCTGATTTTCATTCTTTTAAGGAAATACCCTGAAAGGATTACAGCATCTCCAGGAAAACTTCTGCTTACCAGATCCACTGCTGCTCACTGGATTTATTTTTTCATCATCTTCATCATCACTATCACAATTTAATGGCTGAAAAGCTATTTCTGACTCTGCATCTGCTTGATTAGCATCTGGCTCTTGCTCAGCAAAGCTTCTCAATGCCACAAGGCGATGATGTATTGCTGCATACAGGTCTTCAGTATCTTTTGAGCCTGCCTGCAGAATATAAAACGCATACAGTCCAAACTAACTGAGAAAAATCTCTATTTTCCACAGAAGATCTGACTGAGAAGTTTAAAAAAATAATGAAAGAGTTGTATTTTGTCCTTTTTAATCAAACCATCCATTTCAGATTCACACTAATAATTAATATCCAAATATAAATTTCAATACAGATAATGTCAAGTTTCTGTAAGTAGTCTGAGTTTTATAATATGTAGCTGTTGATTATTTTCTCTACAGTTACAAGAAAAATAAGTTTAAAAATTATTTTCCCTGAAAAATGGCTCAGTTTGCATGGAGTACTTGGTATTCCAAATGATTCCTGAGTATGATTCTAGAAGTAAGAAAGCACTGAAATGTTAATATATGCAGTCACTAGATGGATACTACAGGGGTGGATACCAGCCACTTCAGTGAATGGAGAAGCAGCTTACTGCAACCCCAGCCACCCCAGCTGTCATACATCTTCATCATGTCTATTTTTACTGCCCAGAAGTGCCAGGACAGAATTTGTGGAACATCTCTATAGACTAGAAAAACTGCAGCACCTCTGGAAATCAGGCCATTTACATGCAGACGAGCAGTCCAGCATAGCTGTATTTAAGTCAGTCCTTGTCTGGAAGTGACAGACTTACAGTGCTTTCCATTTACAGTGCATGGTGCTTTGCTTGTGTATGACATGTGACGCTTCCTGGAAATGATGATTTATTTTTCTTGCCTGGGAGGCTGAATCCTTCCTAGAAAGGTCTACTAGGGAAACTGTAAACATCCTCAAAATCTTGTGGATGTTCTCACTTTCCAATCTAGGACATATATGCTATTTATTTGTAAATAAGTCCACCACATTTCCATCCCCAACTTAGCCCTTGCTGAACAAAACCAGGGTTCCCAAGACTATTGTCTTACATAAGGTGACTTGCAAACTCTGTGTTCTTCTCAGTTAAGAAATGGAGGTCCTACACCAGATGGATTATTGCAAGCACTGTGCTGAGAACCATGGCAGAAAACTGTTGCCTTTTACCAGAGTAACTTAGAAACAAGTAACTGCTTGTGTAGAAATTCTTACAGTATTGCTTTCGTATAAAAGAGTAATTGATGCATATTACTGGAATGACATCCATTACATCAGTTGCTATGTGAGCTAGAGTCTGGACATGTCTGTCCTCAGGCCATGTCCCATCAGCACACATAGTTTTTCGAAATACCAAAGGAGAGCACTTCTAACACATTCCGTAATAAAAGCCATGTAATAGCTAACCTAAGCACAGCATGAAGGCCATTTGTTAAAACCAACCTTCAGCAAGTCTTCAGAATCCTAGATGAACAGTGGATTTGGGTGGAGTTTTTATGTCCTACTTACCTGAGTTAGAAACACTTGAACAGAGTGGTCCTCTTGGTCTGTTGCAGTGAAGCACAGGCTTTTTCTGTTTGCTCTTTTTATAACCATTTGTTCCCAGAGTCGGGTGTTGAGAATCAGTCTCAAGCTGCCTTGATTTCGCATAACTGAAATAAGAAGGTTTATATGATAAGATATTGGAACCATCTTAATTTTTACTGCAGCACTTTTTTCTAACACTTGTATACAAGTAATATTTTCATCAATTATTCTTTTTAATTTGGTCTAAAACCCTGGTGAGATTTATTTTTTTTGTCATTTTTTTAAATACCCAGATATATCAGTTTCTTTCAATACACTGCCACACAAAGGAAACTGTGTAATGACAGCGCAGTAAAAACAACATTCCAGAAGTGTCTTGAAAAGTGTTCCTGGAAAAGCAGAATCAACAAAGAGCAAACTGTCAGACTGGTGACTGAGCTGAAGACACATTGCAGCAGAAATGCACACAACCTAACAACATATGCGAGTGTGGTTGTGTAAACCAAGTGAAAAATGCCCAGTGCCTCAGTCCGTAACACAGCAAACATTATCAGGTAAAAAGATTCTCAGCAACTTGACTTAAATAAAACTAGCTTCTCGGTTTTAAATGATCTGAAATAAGCATATTCTGGCCAACATTAGTACAAGTTACTTGGTGTTTTGTGTACGGGGTACTTGTTATTTCATTCTTACTTAGCCTTGACTGCAACATTCCATGTTTGCTGCTTGAAGTGTCATTAAGCCTCAGGGATCCCCTGCCTCTTTCAGTCCAGGTTAAAGAAAGCTTATTAAATACAAAGAGTTTGCAGTTGATCTGAAAGAGAAATACTTGATGAAAATTGCCAGCCAATACTGGTTTTATTGGTTCCAAAACTTTATGGTTTTAAACTTTTGATATGGCTTTTGATACATCCATATGCATGTATACAAAGATAAACAAATAGATATATCACGATTGTTACCTAAAATGAAATGGCTCCTAAATCTGTGCTAAATACTTTACTCACCATGGAAAGCAATCAGCATGAATTCCAGTTTACTTTTTCAATTATTTCATCTTCATTAATTTTTCATCTGTAATATCTACCAACGCAGCTGAATTTGGTGCAAGTGTTCTACAGTCTGATTCCCTCAATCAATACAAACATTATGCGACCTGGAATACCAGTACCACTACTAGAAGCGTACTGTTCCAAAGAGAGTAAAACTTTCATATTCTGGCAAGACAGAAGAATTATCCAAAGATAAAATGATGCTAAGATTTTTTAAATCATATGCACCATTGCTCTTTTCTGAGAAAATAGCATTTTGAAGAATAGGGAGATATGTCCTGCCAGGTTGGAAAAATAATTGATATTTTAGATGAACTATAAAACAAATTAGTTTAAAAATACATAGCTTTTTTCCCAAAAAAAGTTTTGTTATAAAACTCATCTTTACTCAAATCACTTCCAATTTTGAAGCTTTAGTTACTGTTGGTGTACTCTGTGGATGCTTGTAAAATACCACTATAGAATGAAATTCTGAAGAAGTCACTTACTGAAAGGGACTATAAAATGAAGAAATATAATATGAAAATGAAAATACCAGCCTACAGAAAAATGGATAACCTGAGGCATACCTCAAAAAAGGTGAAAAATTAAAATATAAGATGAAGTTATTTTCAGATTGTTTCAATCTGTAATAGATCTAGATGTTCTTTTGAACAACAAAACTACTCACCATCAAGGCTTTATGTAATACACACCTGCAATACATTGTGTTCTGCTTCTTCTCCAGTTATAACTTCAACTTTATCTAACAGGATTTTCTCCATTGGCTTGGAAATAAAAGCAGCTGCTGATTCAATTAGTGTTGCATTTCTCAACAAAGCTCTTTCTGTAGGGAAAAAAAAAAAGGAAATCCTTTCTGTACAGGGAATATTTTAGGATAACAAAACTAGCACACAGGATGCCCTGTGACCTCCATAATACCTGTGTCGTCAGACATTATTTAGTGTTACTAATAAGTTTTTGGCCAAAGCAATAAACAGAAGAGAAAAAGAAAAAGGCTGGAATACAAAATGCCTCACAAAACAGGCTCATTCTCAATTGAACAGGGCTGTCTGCAATTGCAGAAGTTTGTCCATAGGGAAACAAGCAGAAACAAGGCCTAAATAACGAGAAGATGATTTTCCAAAATATTGGAAATATTGTATCTGTTATATTGCTTTGCAGATTAATACAGAAGGAAAGACACGTCCCAATATTCAGAATAGTAACATGTATGCAACAAATATTTGACAGGAACACAGAAGGACAAGATTTGACAGGAACAACACTGTTGAAAAATTTTGTCTGTTTGCATAATCTATACACATTTTCCACAGGATTTTTTTTAACCTGTAAGAATACATGAAACCAGAGGATCCAATGCAACCATTAGTAAAGACGGGTACAAAAATTTGCAAGAGGGCTCAAGATGGGGTATCCTTGGGATTCCCTCACAGCCTAGATTTACATGGCTTCCCTAGTAGAAAATCTCACATCGGAGTCACAAACAACCCCTGAAATCTGTCTGTACAGGACTTTCAGTCCTAAAAGTAGAATCCAACATAATGAGGTAATTTATGTGAGCAGTTGCAAAATACAAGCAGGAGACAGCTTAAAACTGAAGTTCAAAAAGGTGGTCCATAAGGTATTCTTAAAGTTCACTGCATTTTTTTTCAAAAAATAAATAATAATCTGTACTAAATAATGATAATCTGTAAAACTATAATTTTCTGCGTAACTTAGATCATGCATTATGAACTTAGGCCAGTTTGCATGACATAAAATATAGCTGCTTTCTGAACACAGATTTTGGCACATACTGCAAGCTGGAGAATAGATGAACATTATTGACCACCACTCATTTGACATCCTCTAAAATACAGTGAAACATGAGAATAAGAATAACTGTACTTGTTTGCTGAGTATGCTTACTTGTTTGTGGACTAACATAAGAAGATCCTATGTACATGGATGTTATTTCTCCTTTGTATAAATCAGCTTCATTACACAGCTTGGGGTGCTTCCCAGGACTCTGGAAAAACATGGTGGAAATAAGAATTCCTATTTAAATAAAATGGGTATGTTACTTTACACCAAATAGAACATTGAATCATTTAATGCATGCTAAACTGCAATTTTAATATCCTCAGAGTAAAAACTGATGGAGATGATACAATTTCAGTCTCTAGAGGAAGTAATTTTATTATCATAAAATCAGTACCTCATTCTTCTACCAAGAAGAATGGCCTTTATCTATGAATCCTGGACTAGGATTTAAATTCACTGAAGAACTAGAATGTTGAAGTACCACCTAATTTCCAGTTCAAGCACTTAAGTCCCAAAAGAGTAGTTTAAAACTCCCAGACAAACTTAACTTTTCCATCACTTTCAGGTTTTGCAGATAAAGGTTCTTAGGCATGTCTAAATAAATACTTCTGTCTCCTGACAATGCTCGATTCCTACTATTCCTATCCTTTCAGAAGTCATGACCCAGACCTATGGTTGCCAACATTTTGCACTGGCAGATATGCATACTGTTTTCATTCTACTTCTATTGGAAACTGAATTTCAATTCCATTTTCAATGGTGCAGTCCTCAGCTTGGGAACCACCTTTTAGTCCTAGTGCCCTTCAGGACTCGATCCATTAAGCTGTCTCACAAGTGTGCCCAATATGCTTTAGCAATGACACTGTCTAGGATGGGTGCCCAATTTTTCACTCATACTTATTTATCACAGGATCATAGAATGGCCTGAGTTGGAAGGGACCTTAAAGATCATTTCATTCCAACCCCCTGCCATGGACAGGGGCACCTTTTACAAGAACAGGTTGCTCAAAGCCCCATCCAACCTGGCCTTGAACACTTCCAGGGATGGGGAAGCCACAGCTTCTCTGGGCAACCTGTGCCACGGCCTGACCATCCTCAGAGTAAAGAATTTTTTCCTAATATCTAATATAAACCATCCCCCCTTGTCCTGTCACTACAAGCCCTTGTAAATAGTCTCTCTCCATCTCTCTTGCAGGTTCCCTTCAGGTATCCTCTCTCTTCAGAGTTATGATGCAAATTAATTATAACAGTGGTAGGGATCACATTCCTTTATTTCATGTTGTGTGTGTTTTACATGGAATATCTAAAAACCTAAATATCTATAAAAATCCTTTTCAGGTCAAAAACCGAGCAAAATAGAAGTGCATATTGGTCCATCTTTAAAAGAACAGGAGCAGCTAAAAATAATCAATATCTGAAAAATTTATCCTCTTAATTACATTAAGCTTGATAAAAAGTCTGCTGGCATTTACAGATCTTACCAAAACTCTTTCGACCATGTTTTCCCCAAACACAAAATCAGAACTGCTGCTGGTTTTTACACTTCTTTCTTCAAGCAACTGACTTCTGTGGGAACAAAATAGCATAAGAATGCTATTTAGGATAATTTAAAGCTTTTTAAAGATTTCCCACACCTAACATTAAAGACAAAAAATGACTGTGTAAGCAATGAGATTCGTTAAGAGAATCTGAGAATATTCTCTATGTAACACTTCACAAAAGGAACAGAGAGTATCCGCTGCATTTCATGAAGATTATTGAGGATGTTCCTTAAAAGCAAAGAACAAAAAGCAAAACAACATGCCTTTTCCTCCTCAGGGAAGTGTCTTACCCCAGAAACTTTAATGAGTTACTTTTGTTTCCAGCTTTCCCTTTGTGGGAAGATTTGGGAAGGTTTGGGAAGGGAAGGTTTGGGAAGGTTAGGGAAGGGAAGGTTTGGGAAGGTTTGGGAAGGTTAGGGAAGGGAAGGTTTGGGAAGGGGAGGGGAGGGTAGGGCAGGGCAGGGCAGGGAAGGGAAGGGAAGGAAAGGGAATACTTCCAATCCTTTGGTACTGGACAACTGTAGTTTTGGGATTAAATTCAAGAATATTCTAATACAAATGGAGATGTGATTTGACCTGCTAATTACAAACCCACTTTAACATTAACATGGTCCATTTTTTGTAAAAGTCACTAGAAAAGTCCTTGTAAACTTCTTTAAGTAGAATTTGTCTCTGATGCTGGTTTGCTTTTGCTTTTGCTTTATTTTTTTTGGTCACATTCTGTTCCCAGAAGGATGACTTGGCAGGAAGACAATCTGATATTGCGTCACAAACCGCATACTTCAGCACCACTTACTTCTCTTTCACACTGTTTATAATTCTTGGGAGGGTTTAACAGCACATATGTCATTCAGAGGATATTCCTGTTAATAAGCTGGGCTTTGTTGACAGAACTTTGATAATTACCTCTAAAACATAGTTTCTGTGTTCACGACTGCAGCGTGCTTAAAATGTCTTCAAGTATAAAGGGCTTACCAAACACTACCTATCTCCATTTTACACTTAATGAAAAAAATGTTCCTTAATACTCTCATGCTTGATGTGTTGCTAAGACTAAGAGCAAAAATTAAAGAGAGAAATCTGAAAATACATCTCTTTTCATCCTTGAAGTGTCCTATACATGTTTTGGGCCATGAAGAGGGAATCTGAAGTGTACTTAAATTAATGAGTTTCTTATCCTTAAACACACCCCTCTCTAAAATTCAGTGAATTTTGATCGGTTTCCATCCTGAAGTTTCATCTGCTACTTCTGTGCTGCTCCGGTAGCAACTTCTTAAGGACAGCACACCAGAGGAGCCAAAAAACAGGAACTAGAGGCTTGTTTCAAAGAAATAATGTGGGAAATGGATTTTGATTATTTTCAGAAATGTAAGAAAAAATTAATCAGTGCAGAATCTTTATTTTTTGAGACAGTTAACTGGAAGGACCAGCCTTAAAATGTTATTAAAAGCTCAATACCCTTATGCTGCTGAGTAGCAAGAACTAAGTGTACCAGGGATGACATTACCATGGAGATGCAAAATAAAGTCACTGAATTCAAGGTATGATCACTAACAAGGAACAATGTACAGTGCTAACTTTAAACCCTCTCATTTTCCAAGCAAATCCTTGTGAATACATGACCAGAAGGCTGTTTTCCCAGCACTGTATTTCTGTCACTTGTGACACAAGATTTCCAAACTTTTAATCAGAATCAAGCAGCTCATTACTACAGCCAGCCCAGGAAATAAAACTGGTGGTGGTTTCTGGGACAGGGACAGCTGCAGCAACTGCAGAGGGCTTACAAGCCATTTCTGTCTCTCCACAGAACCATATCATATAGAGAACAAGTGGAAGAGGAGGGAAAGTGAGAGAGATGTCTGCAGGCAGCAGCAATCCCTGCTGTTATATGTCTCTGCATTTAATTTTGTAAACAGATGTCAGTAGTTATGCCTTGATTGAAAATCAAAAACAAACCTAAAAAGATATTTTCTTAGCAATGATCTGCTTGCAGTGTTCACTACTGTTTAGTGTGTGAAGTGGAGTTTAGCATGTGGAGTTTAATAAAATTGTTTGTTATTTATGAGAAAACAGCTCTGCTAGAAAGATTTTACTTAAGAATTTTAAAGCATCAGTCACTTAATACATATCAGAAGAATGGCACTTACACCCTCCTGCAATCTCAGAAGAGCAGTAAGCACTGGTTGTAATTAAATTAGCTTTCAACTGTCAAATAAACTGACATTTACCCCAATGGCGATATACAGAATTAATGAGGCTCAAACACCACAGATTAGCAATTTCTCTTTTAAAAAAGAGAAAAGCACCTTTAACTTGTCAACACTGAAACACTGCATTGCATTTCTCTATCTACTTCAGAAGAGAAAGTTACTCACCTATCTTTACCTAGGTACTGTGCAGGTGACAGAAGGTAAGTAGATCAAAAGTATCAATACAAACTGATTTAGCTTTTCCAATATGTGCATTACCATCATTCTGAATCTGCTAAAAATCCAGTGTACTCTGTGGCTCCATGTTGTCCTCACAGGGCATCATGACAGCGTTAATTATAATAAAAAGGAACAGGCTGGCTCTTCCAAAATCACAGTGAGCATCCACCCTCTAATGATGTTCTTTTCATGGATAAGCATTAAGAATGAAAGTTGTTTGTACATCTAAAAATCCCTTTTCTCCTCAGAACCCTGGCATTGTGCATCCCAACCTTTTATCTGTGGCCCATCCAGCCCTGTAGAAGACTGGTACAGCCTCCTTTGCAATTAACATATTTTCCCCCTTCTTTAGGTGGGAAGGGCAATTAGGCAACATCACAAATCTGTTATCTGTGGCCCTAGGAATTTTCAAAAGTCATTCTGTCATCACAACTGATATGAGAGGGATTCCTGATGCTCACAGCTTCCATGTAACCCTCATCAACCATCAGCAAGCAGTATTAATACCCACAAGATCACCTGCTGACACTAAACTGGCTAACCACAGACCTAATATTCTCACAAGCCAGTCTTCAGAAGGAGGCAATAGCCCACTTTTGCAACAGTATGAGCTTTTTCGTTCCCATACAGTGTCAAGAGGGTAACATCCTAGTCCAAGGAAGTCATCTTCCCCACACAGAAATTATAGTCTGTGCTTCACAGAAACACCAGCCTATCACAGTCATCACAACTTGCTATTTGTGCCAGAAGCGCAATATTCTGTGAACAGAAGTAGAGCGTCAATTGAATTTGGTCTTCCAAATCAATCTTATATGTTTTTCTCTATGCCTCTTGGGTCCAATATGCTGACATGTTTTAGTAGTTTCTCAAAAGACTGAAACTTCCTGAGTTTCTTTACACCTTTTTATGAGGTGTAGCAGATATGCAATCAGAAGAGAGATGGCAAACCGAATAGTCTCTGGCTTGGTGGTTGCTAGTGAGAAGCAAACTGTCCCACAGAGATTAATTCCAGTCTGGAGTCCATTTTTATGGCATGTGAAGTTCATGTTAGCACATGGAAACATTGGCACCACACACAAACACCACTGAACTCTGTGTGTGTGTGGATAACATTGGTTTAGTACTTTGTTAGACACGAAGGATGAAAGGGCATGCCATCAGCCAAGTGATAAAATTATGTAGAATTATAATAAATAAAAACTTACTGTGGTGTTTGAGAGTTAGAAAGATTTCTGGTAGTAGATGACCTCGCTGCTGTTTTGGAACTTGCTGAATACTCAGCTGAGGAATAAGAGCTGTCTTCAGATAGCTAGGAATAATAAAACCAGATGGAGTAATTAGACCTTGTGTATTTTCTGCTTAAACAGATTTTCTAGAATCCAGGCACTGATATATAGATAGACAGATAAGTATAGATACAGGTAGTTACAGGTAGATATGTGGTAGTTGGCAGAGCTTCCTCCAGCCAGTGCCCTGAATTAAAACGTTAAAATCTCACTTTCTAAACAAACAAAATCCAGAAGACCCAAAGCTTATTTGCCCACTGAACCCTCACATCAGAAAGGTGGGACAGCCTGCAGAGAAGACATGTTTTTTCAAAGACATTCATCATGTCTTTGGGAAGGGCTCTACCCACGTTTGTTACAAGCGCACTGGTGGCTAAAAAGCCCAATACAAGATAGACATGTCTGGTTGCAAAAGGCACAGCAGGAAGACTCCTTAGGTGGTAAATTCTGCAATACACGATTCTTTCTGCGTTGTCTGTTCACCTCAAAAGTGATCCTGCGTGCGTTCTCAAAAGCATCCGCAGCGTTATAGATGGTGTGTCTCCAGACCTCCCAACTGGAGGCCAGAGTAGACCAGTTATGAAGATCAATATGGCCAAGGCTGAGATGTTGTTTCAGGGAGTCCTTGTATCTTTTCTTCAAGGCTCCTCTCTTGCGGCAGCCGGTGGCAAGTTCACCATAAAGCAGGATCTTAGGGAGGCAGTGGTCCTTCATCCTTGAGACGTGCCCTGCTCAACACAGCTGTGTTCTCAGCAACATGGCCTCAATACTTGTGACAGCTGCTTGTTCTAGAACAGATGTATTGGTCACATAATCTGACCAGTGGATGTTTAGGATTGTACGGAGGCAGCGTTGATGGAAGCGTTCTAGGAGACACAGGGGGTGGCGGTAGATGACCCATGATTCGGATCCATATAAGAGAGTAGACAGCACAGTGGCTCTGTAAACACTGATCTTTGTACTTTTTTTCAGGTGTTTATTTCGCCAAACTCTTTTATGAAGCTTTCTGAAGGCACTGTATGCCTTTGCTAACCTGTTGTCTATCTCTCCGTCAATCTTACCGTCCGAGGAGATGAGGCTGCCTAGGTAATTAAACTGCTGGACTGACTTGAGCTCTGATTGGCCAATGGTGATATGGGGATCAAAGACATTCAGCATGAGCTTAACACCATATCAAGTCAGTAATCCAACAATTCCACTGAGACTTGTATGGGAACTTTCCTGAAAATCATAAAGTGAAATAACTTGTTTTAAAACAGCACTGTTTTGTTTGGTGGGAGTTTTTTATTTGTTTGGGGTGTGTGTGTGTGTGTTTATAATTTGAGCTCCAAACATACATTAGCCAGGAAAATTATTTTTCTTTTTACCTGAACACATGCTTCTTTCTTAGTCACTAGAGATACTACAGGATTTTCAGGACAGGTCATGGCTTGTGGGGGTTGTAAAATGGCAGGTCTAATGACATTCCGCAATTGACTTGGTGACAAGGATCCTTGCAAAATACAAACACAAAATATTTAAACAGAAACTTTTTCTTCACACCTAATCCATACCTGTATGCCTTGTCTCTTTAACTGAAAGTTTCAAAACATTTCAAAATAATATTTATTGTTGTTTACTTGCTACATATTGTGAAAAATTGTAATGCTTTCTGAAATATATGACTCTGCAGTGAAACCAACCCCTGTTACCCTATCAGGATAAAAAAGTAATGTGTTATATACATAAACATACATATTTGTGTTTATAAAATATATTTCTATTTATATATTTAAATATATATTTATATTCATACTTGTATTTATTGCTTTGTTTTAGATCTGTCTTCTGGCATTTCAGATTTAATCCCTCCTCTGCAGATGCCAATAGGGTTTTTCATTGCCTTCTCTGGGAGCAGAAGTACTCAGAAACATGGAATTTCACTATTCAAGGCTATATTCAGTTCTATTCAGTTATATTCAGTCCACTCAGGAAATAAGTAGTCAGAGCGATACTCAGACCAGAGTTCATAGGACATTTGCACTGTCAAATGAATAATCTATAAATTGCATAAAGACACTTAGCCTATCACTCATTATGGAAAATAGCTGATATTTTTATGTCTTCTAGATCTGTTAAGAATGTCTTTGTGCAACTACAAGGAGAAACTCTTACAATGACAGTTACCTTCTTTTGTACTTTTTATGAAGTCAGGGTTTCTTCGAAGAAGAGCTGCAGTCATGAATATGTTATTCTTCTTTACTACAGAAAAGGAAATTAAACTTCAATAATTAATAATAACAAATTTTAATCATTAATTCATGTTTCTGTAACCCCTCCCTATTTTGGAGGTATCTGAACAATATTCTAACCTATCCATCTAATGAAGTTTTCCGAGATAGCTGTTTACTATCTCAGTTTTACAAGTGGGTAGACTTAGGCACAGAAAGCACCAGAGCTTTCCTGGCTATGTCAGAGACAGAAGTGTTTTGGATATTATTGAATGTTTTAAACTCAAAATTTTTTTTCAGCTTTGGAGACTGGGTGCTGCTGTTTTGTATAAGTCGTTGAAATGGCAATGCCATCTAGTTGAGTTTGGGGCATTATTAAGATGAATAAACAAGGCCCAAGCATATGGGCATAAATAAATGTACCCTGTCCTATTCTGCTAAAAAGAGCTTTAGAATTACTGTAATAATGGTGGCAATGCACTATTGATGCTTTCACTGTTTTAATAAAGATATCAAATGCCAGTAAAAAAGTGATGACAACTATGTTGTCAAAGCCTAGAAGATGAGCAGGTTATTGTGTCTGCCACCAACATGTGGATAGCTGTGGAGCCAGCCAAGGATTGTTGGTAATAACATGCTGTGTGAAAGTACAGGATATGGCTGGAGAAGGGGCCATATGGAGGTAGGGCAGCATTTTTGGGGGACGAAAGTCCTTGTTATGGCTCCTGGAGATAAGCACAAGACAGCACAGTGCAATCACAGGAATGAGGCTGAGAAGTGGGGATGGACTGTAGGGGGGATCAAGACCACCCAAGACACCCAAAGCCTCCAACTCATTTCCAGAAAGACTTGAAGAACAGACTGCTAATGGTAAATGATTTGCATAGAAAGTGAGAAACTTATAACAGGGTGGGAAAAACTTCTCTATAAAAAGGTACCCTCATGAACCCCAGGTGCATGTGCACACCAGGGCCCTGGACACCCCATCAGCTGAAGCTAGGACTAGTGATGTCTTTTTCTCTCTTTCTTTATCTCTCTCTCTCACTGTCTAGTTCATCTCTCTCTTTCCTTTCACCCTACCCCTTTATCCAAAACCCACTGCTCATACTAGGAGATCACGGACTAACTTGTACCAATTTCCATGCCAAGTACGTTATTTACTAATAAAACTTGTAACCTTTTTTGGACCGTCTTTCTTTTCCACCACAAGCATCTCTGAATCTTAGGTACTCCCTTCCCCTTAAGGACATCATACTTGTCCTCAAATGGCACAACTGATGCACTACATACAATCACTACTTTTTCACTGCAGAAACAGTGTGGTTTGTTGCTTTTGCAGTGCTGTGTCCTTTTATAATTGTTTAGAAATCCTTTATGCCACTGTCTGTCAAGGACCTGACTCTGGTAAGAGACGTAAACTAGGATTCAAGACCACTTGTTCCTGTTAGTGCTAAGTGGGAGAATACTCCCTGGGTCACTGGTTAGATGGAAGACTGGACAGAAAATTATATTCCTATATTCCATCACCATTAAATTGCAAGCAAACTATTGATGTAATTACTGTAAGTACATTCTAGTTTTTTTCAAATATAATTTGTACCACAGTCTGAAATTGCCTATTTGCAAATTATTCAAAGATTCCACCCCAACCCTGCAGGATGCAAAAAACATGTCTTCTATTGAAGTACCAGTCCTCCTCCTAAAACATTCCTTTTTTCTGTCTAAATACCAGACTAGTCCAATGCGCTTCAGCTATGTCCTGCTGAAAAAGCATTTCTGTACACCACTTTATTGTAGCTAATACCTGCTTTTCTACATAAATGTTTATTTTTAATTACCTGTCTGGGAGGGAGGGAAGGTAGGAGGGATGGTAAAGGAAGATGATCTCCCTCTTTTCTGTGTGAGAGCTGTATCTGAAAGAATAAGAGACTGAAATTATCATCTGTTTGGAGAATAGGAAAGATCAGAAAGATCAATTTTAGGGTTAGCCAGGTTGATGTCATGCCTTCAGTGGCAGTAGAGTAAATTATTATCTGCTATCTACAAGCTTCATGAAGTAAACTGTTAGGTAATGTCTATACTGCTTATTCGGGGATGTCTCTGAGGCTGAGGGCACAGCCTGGCTCAAGCACACAGCTAATCCCCTCTGTAACTGGAATTCTGTCCTGGAGACCTCCAGCTGGAGAGATCCAAAACAGAACCAAGGAGTGAGCTATCACTTTAACAGTGTGGGCAATCAAGAGGTCAAATACTCAAGTTTCCTTCTGCACCCCATGTTATCGTAGGTATACTCTACAATTTCTACCATATATATGATTTTTTTTTTTTGGTATGATCTCGGTATAATTTTCAGAGTAAACCAAGCTTAGCATATCTTAAATCCTCTGAGCTACATTCGGGTGTGTCACAGAACTATATAAAACAAAAAATAGTGTACACTATAATGTATTAATACACATAGTGTACACTATGTGTATTAATGAATTATTAATTTATATTAATAATTAGAACATATTAATGCCTAAATTCAGAAGTACCTTCCTGGTCCCATCCATATGTTACATAAACATTGTAAAAAACAGATCAGTCCTTCTGCACTCAGTGATTTGTTTGCATTTCCCATGGAAGCAACATACAGTCCTTAAAGGGCCTTGCCAGTTAGCTGTTTGCTGGACAGAAGGAGGAGCCCTTTTGGAAATTGCTTTACATTTTTAAGGATTGCCCAGGGAAAAAATGCTGATCTCTTCCAGAAGCCAAGGAATATCGCTCCTTTCCAGCTTTCCTCCTCCCTTGACTGTGTGAGCAACTCTAGAAAATTATATGAATATATAGATTTTTCAACTTTGTGTAATATTATATAAGTATGGAAAAAGATTATATTTTTACTTAAAAAGGTATTTATTGGAAATTACCAATGAGTATACCAGTGTTTAATTTTCATGACTTTCAGTATGCCTATAGTGCAAAAACATTTCTTAGACAGGAAAATTTATTCTCTTCTTCATCAGCTAAGAATACGGAACTTACAGGAATTAGAACATGACAGGAGCTAAATGTCATACCAATGTTAGGCTGAGTGCCAGACTTTTGGAAAGTAAAAGATGATGATCTTGCACGTTTTCTGGAACAACTAGTGAAATCTAGAGAACAGGAAATATAATGTTATGCAGAGACAAGTTGGCAGGAGATTTCAGCACAATCTTATGATATAGAATTAAAACGTGAACACAATAAATTCTAGGACTGACTTACAGAACAGCTTTAAGGCAATACCTAAGAGCAAGAGGTCTTTGGAATCACAGTCAACACCTGCCACAAAGCCCTAGGGAGTCTTCTTTATTTCTACTAAGTTCAGGGAACTCAAAGCAAGCCCTCAGAATCAGTTCATAGCCCAGAAGACATTAAGAATGAGAAGTTATACTAAAATGCTGCCTAAACAAATAGAAAAGGCAGTGAGAAGCTCATGAATATGTTTGGTCAATTTCCAGGGCTTCTGGAGTTGGTCTTTCTGGTAAATATGAGAGTTAGGATGGAAGAATTCTTGAGGTAAGACAGGGACATGTATATAAGAACATAGTAGGTTGCTTTACAACCCACAAGGTCTTGGTCTACTGATAGGCATTTGCCCCTGCTCCTACAAAGTAAGGGTGCAAACACTGTTTTCCCAGGCAACAGTCAGACCTATGAATAACCCATTGTGTATTATACATGAAGTGCATAAAGAGGTTATTACCATTTTCAGCTTTGCAAACTGGGTCTTCTGCAGGACGCTGGGGGAAAAAAAAGGCATGGAAAGGTCAAGGAAAAAAGAACAGTCATTTTCTAGACCAAGACACAAAGTATACCAATTCAGCATATATGCATTAAAAGCAGCCTTGTTTGTACTTTCTACTCTTCCCTGTTCTATTTTGAGATCACTTATTACAAGTCTTAGCCTGGGCTAAAATCTTTTACTACTACTAGGATAATTTCTATAGAAACCCCATTTCTCAGCAATTTTTATCAATAAAGTAAAAAAAAAGCTTTTCACCTTCAAAAGACGATCCTTCTTTTCAAAAACAAATGTTGGCTGGGCAAGCACTGATTTCTCTGGAAAAGAGATCATTTTTAATAATAGTTCTGTAATAGTACTTCTCAACCACAGTTTTGAAAATGCTGTGCAATAACAAACAGCAGTTTATCCTTTTGAGACAAAGGAAGAAAATACAGAGCTGCAGTGATGTACAGCACAGTACATCAATTTTTTTAAAAAAGCTATAGTCCTCAAATCTGAGTGTGAGTTTTGCCTAACCAGATGCCATGGGATTTGACCTCATATAATTTAACAATTCTTTTAATGAAAAAGAAAAAAAAATGTGCTTGTAGCCTTTACAAACAACATCTGCCATCCTTTAAGAACTAGAGTGAACTGCATCTTTGGGTGTCAGAAAAGTGCAAAGATGTGACATGTAAAATATCCCTAAAGGAAAGAAAACAAGGAAATGTGTTACACTTGGCCTCTCAGCTATATTCACACATCCCACTCTTTAGGCTTCAGGGAGGTGAATGCTTGGTGTTAGTTTTAATGTGTGAGTATGATATATAAACACAGGAAGCTCTGTAAAGCAAATTCTACTCTCAGCATACCTCTGCATTTCTTAGTCATGACTGAAAAAAACTTTGGACCCATGTTCTTTTTTCCTATGAAACATTTTTCACCACACATTTGCCTCACATCAGATTTTTGGTTGATTCAGGGTTCACCTGAATCTTACATCTTATACAACTTCTTGAGGCTACTTACTTTTCTAAGCTTGTGATCTGCACAGCCTGTGCAACCCTAATGGACTAAATTTGGTTGTCAGGTTAAAAGAAGAAGGGGTTTTCACCAGCACCACTGATTAGTGGCACATTTATTATTCAAATAAATTGAATAATTAATGAGCAAAGAAGCAGACACAAATAGATTTTTTAGACTACCACATTGAGGATTTATCTCATGCTAGCCTGAGGTATCTGTAATGTGCAGTCAATAGCATGTTTTAGCTGTGTACTTCAGATGTTTAATTGGAACCTAAGTGCATGCATTTCTCTCCATGGCTGATAAAGACAGACTTGTATGACCAACGGAACTATTTGACTGACTTCTGGCCAGAGAAATTCCACACTTGTTACCTTTTTAAGTGATATTTGACAGAATATTTATCATGTACAACACATATTTATAACACTAGCTTCCTCTGTTACCTCTTCATCAAAAATGTCCAAGTGAAAACATATTTTTATCTTGGCTTGCACACCCATCTGTGACAAAACCACTCTAGCATTGATATCAATTACTTAAGGGTTTAATAAAGCAAACACCAACCTATCATGGAGGAGTTAATATTACTACATAAAAATATTTTCAATAATCAAGAAAAAAGTAAACATTGTTAAAACAAATGCTTCATTTATGTAAACAGGGGCAAGAAGCATGAAACTATTACTCTAAACCAAAGATATACAGACACAGGAGTAATAACTAATACAGTTTTGCTGTTGTTAAAGTTCATTTTATATTTACTGGGGCATTATGTGTGTGTAAAAGACAGATTTTAGCAAACTTGACATGCTTAGCAATGCAGGTCTAGTTGGTCCTTAAAGAAAAAGCAAGAAAAAAGTTCACATTGTTCCTCTGAAAAAAAGATAACTCTCTGTCACTCAAAGTTGAAGAAAAATTCCATAATCCAGTTGTATCTGGGGTCCGCGGCACGGCATGAGATGGAGCAATTCCACTTTTATTCACTAGAGGGGAGTGGCATACATAAACAACAGTATTTCACTGAAATATGATTTTTTTAAAAGAAAATAGGCTTTTTCCTCTCCCCTTAAAAAAGAAACAAGCAAACAAACAAGCAACACTGGTATTCTTACTGAATTAAGGAAAAATACAAAAATTAAAGCTTGACTATAGAAACTTTCATATTCTCCACTTTACTTCTCAAAGCTCAAAAGCTTGCAATATTTTTAAAGGTACATTTTCTACTCCAAATAACAGTTAGCAAAGAGTGAATTACTGTGAAAAAGGAATTGACTTTCTATCACAGAGTGAACTTTTGATGGAGCTAAAAGGCTGTAGGGAGTTTGAAGGAATTAGGAAAGTTCATTACGTTTTAAACAACAACATTCCAATAGTAGTTTAAAACCCAGAAGTTCCTGAAGAGAAAATTATAACTGGTTGATTACCAACAAAATCACGTGAAGCTACCAAATAATGGTATCTCATAAGATAAATAGACATATTTTAATATTGAAGTAAATATAAAGGATATGTCCCATCAACTGCTCTTGAGCCAAAGGGTTGCCTGTAGATTTAGTCAGAGGATGCTGGGGTTGCCACAGTTATTTATAGTTGTTACAGTTCTATATTGCTTCTACACAAATCAAGAAAACCTTTTCATAATTCCTGAAGAGTACTCCACAAGAAGAGTACTCTACTGATTTTACTCATCAGTAAGACCTTCACTCTTCAATCAGGCTATTCATAACAGGGTTTTAAACATACATTTGTGATAACCATGTATGCCTACAAAGCATAAATTTCCAATTACATTTTCAACTTCTTAGATATTCAAGCATGAAATATTTGCAGCTGAGCCCCACAGAAAAAGAGAGGCAGAATTTCTTGTGGATGTAACACGAGGGCATCAAGGAGTTACCAGAATTGTGTCCACGTGATAATTTTAACACTGGTGAGTACATCTGCACTTCTCCCCTTCATTTTCTGCACTAAGTCTGATGCTGCCAAGGTGGATGGCTGTGCCAGGAGGAAGAAAAGTCTTTCTGCACCCTCTGCTCTTGGCAGCACTGGGGGCACCCAGCCAGACAGTGCCAGACTCTGCCCCAGGGAATAGGCAGCAGCAGCCAAGGCTGGGTACAAGCAGATGCAGAGGAACAGTGATGGTGTGGGCTGGAGCCATCCCACTCATCATCACCAACAAGACACAGACAGACACAGGCTGGCTAGTGCCATGTTAGGACTGGGCCACTCTGGTCCTCAGCAGCTCGGCACTTGCGCATAGAAGAGCCTGATGGAAAAGTTACCAGAAGAACATGCCAAATGAGCTGCCTCTGGCTGCAGGGACCGGAATAATCCACCAGCCTCAGCCAACAGTCCAGACACAGAACCTATCTGTTTGCCCGTGCATAATCACCACAGACTGGGCTCTCTTTCCCTTGCTACAGGTGCCCTGAAACTGTTGAATTAGAAAGGTCTTGGCCTAACGTTTCCTGTATTCAAAGTTCAACTTAGGCCCTTGCCTGTAAGATGCATTAAAGTGTCCAGTCCCTCTGCTTAAAATCTCACCTGGATGGCCTCCTGGCTCAAGCCTCCTGTCCTGCACAGAAGCACTGTCAAGTGTGCTCCAACCTGAGCTACTGGTGACATGGAAGTCACCCAGGCCACAGGATGGAGCCTGCATTTACAAAGTTCCATTTGAATGAGTCATTTTGGGAAAAGTTGTTGGCTGCTGCCTAAGAAGCACTGCCAGAATGACATACAAGATACAATGTAAAATTGCTTTTACCAGCTTTGCTTGTATCCCAAAAGCCAGCATTGTCCATGAGATGTAAGGGTCTCTCCGTTTTAGCTGTGACATTCCACTCTTCACTTCCACTGCTATTGCTTTTTCTAAAGCTCTTGAGACTTCACAAAATATATACATTAAAGTAGGTAGGACACTGATGGGTTTAAAATTTTTAGAGTTATTATTATTGTTCCATTGTACCCTAAACACAGATAAATGATCCTTAATTTTTGAGGGCTAAGGACATAGTGGAGAGAATATAAGGCCATATCTGTTTAATTTTCAGACAGTCCTATGCCTGAAATCATATGTGAAAAGTGGTGAGAATTCTATTCCTCCCAAAGAAATGCAAAAAAACCCTAAAATCTTTAAGAAGGTAAGATGGCAATTGTGATCTCAATAAAGGTTTTTAATTTCTGACTTTGAAACCATTAATTTTTATGTTTTTACATTTTCAGATTAAAGGAAAAAATTTTTAAAAATCAGTTGCATCTTCACCATTACCAAACTTGACAGAAGTCAGAAAATATTTTAATTCATATTCATACCACATACTTTCACATTTTTATGTCTAAAGATGGACCTGCTGCTGGCCAAGGCCAAGCCCACCAGCCAACAGTGACAGCGCCTCTGGAATAATGGATTTAAGAAGGGGGGAAAATTACTACACAAGAGCAAATGCAGCTGGGAGAGAGGAGTGGGAATGCATGAGAGGAGCAGCCCTGCAGACACAAGGTCAGTGAAGGAGGAAGGCAAGGAGGTGCTCCAGGCACTGGAGCAGAGATTCCCCTGCAGGCCACGGTGCAGAGCATGGTGAGGCAGCTGTACCCCTGCAGCCCATAGGGATCCATGGGGGAGCAGAGATCCATCTGCAGCCCATGGAGGACCTCACACAGGGGCAGGTGGATGTCCAGAGGAGGTTGTGACCACATGGGAAGCCCATGCTTGAGCAGCCTCCTGCCAGAACACATGGTCCCATGGAGAGAGGAGCCTACTGGAGCAGGAGCCCATGGGGGAGTCACACTGGAACAGCCTGTTCCTAAGGACTGCACCCTGTGGGAGGGACACACACACTGGAGCAGTTAGTGAAGAACCACAACCTTTTGGAGGGACTCCTGTTGGAGAAGTTCTTGGAAGACTGTCTCCTTTGGGCAGGGCCCCACGCTGGAACGGGGGAAGAGTGTGAGAAGCCCTCCCCATGATGAAGAAGGAGAGGCAGAGACGACATGTGATGAACTGAACAAAACCCCCATTCCCCATCCCCCTGCTCCACTCAGTGAGAGCAGATAGAGAAATCAGGAGTGAAGTTAGTGCTGTGAAGAAGGGAAGAGTGGGTGGGAATGTTTGGGGTTTTTTAAGATTCGGGTTTATTTCTCATTACCCTACACTGATTTCATTGGTAATAAACTAAATTAATTTCCCAAAGTCTAGTCTGTTTCACCCGTGACAGTAAATGCTGAGTGATCTCTCCTATCTTGACCCACAAACCTTCTGTTATGTTCTTCCCCCTGTCCAGCTGAGAAGGGGAGTGACAGAGTGGCTTTGGGGAGGATCTGGCATCCAGCCAGCATCAACATACCACAACAGTAAATAACAAAACAAATCAAAACAAAAAATCCACCCCTCTTGATGAAAAATCATTTTTCTCAAATGGAATATGACACTGGAAAATTGTAAAATCTTTAAATAATGGCACTGACCTACAAAACCTTTACCTGCATTCAGCTTTCCTTCAGAACATCCTAGTAAGCATTATACAACACACAAAAACTACGACACGAAAATTTATAATCAGATTATAATTTTATCCTATCAAATGATGACTCTGACGTAGTATTAACAAGTTTCTGTGCTCTGATATGCTATTGCATGAATTTCAATAGCTTTGCACATTACTGCGATAATTCGCAAAATTAAAAGCAGAAACACTACTGTGTTTTGATGTTATAGCTTAGACTGCTGGTACCCAAGTCACAGAACTCAAACCAAGAAAAGTTAATCAATAATAACAAATTCTTGCACATAACATTGCCACTTTCCTGGTTTCAGATATAAATTAGGTCAATGGGATCATGTAATTTGGGAAGATGTTGGGAAGACAAGTCGATTTACTGTGACTTTAGTTTCTACAACCCCAGAGATAGTTTTGTGTTACTAAAATACTAAAAAAAACAACAAGGAAAAGCTCTGACTCTGTCACTTATGAATATATGTTGTTTAAAACTGTTACTTGAAAAAACAGACAAAATTTGTGGTATTTTGTGGCAATATACATGAAGAAAAAGCAACAATCTACTAGCATTTAAGGGGGAGACATGGATCCAGAAATTTATATAGTTCCACTCAAAAAAAGAAATTATTTTATCTATTCTAGACAATCATCTGTCCATTAACACTTGGCCTCAAGAGTATCAGAGTTAAACTGTGTACTTATACAACTAATTTTTGTTCAATATGCTGCAAAAATATAGAAAACTACACCTATATTTTGGGCAATAAAACTGCAATGACAAGGAGGAGAGAAATACATATAGTGAAAATAAGCAATAGGATAAACTAACAAAATACTTTGCCCTCTAAGCTCAGACTCATGTTTAAATACTGTTTCTGGCTTTTGATACAAAAAGATATCTGTTGGTATTTCCAGAGACGGATCATTTTCGTTTGAAAAGAGGTGAAAAATAGGAACAACCTTCTGGCTGAGGACTTCCCAAACGTGCAATAAAACCATGGTTTCTCTTTTGAAAATACTCACTGGAATTGGTAACTTAAAGTAAGAGTCAGTTCACAGCCAAACAAAAGTGCCACAAGGCTGCCAGCCAACATCTCAGGTCCCTCAGTGACCTCACTACATAAGCCGGGCTTTCCTCTGCCAAAACTTAGGAAAGGAAGATTACATGAGGCAAAATTGGGGTGTCCTAGAACAGTACTTTATGCATCCAACTTAATAAAAGTTAAAGAAGTATAGAAAAAGGTTTATAAAATTTCACATTGCTGATCCCAAGGAACAGGTGTGTTTCTGGAAGCACTGGAGAGTTGTGCGCTCTGGTGGAACTCACATGCGCAGCTGGCTGGTCAGTACCTTTGAAAAACCAGGTCAGTAATTTAAGAACCTAAATATGGACCTATAAAGCTTCTTTCAGATTCTCGTTTATTACCCTTCACGCTTTTAGTTTTTGCTTATGGAGTATATTCAGTACTTTCTAAGACAACTCTCTTGAAAATTAAGATCAGTTTTAATGCCAAGACTGCAAGACTTTCCAAGCAAATTTACTTTTTTTTTTTTACTAAGACATCATAAGATTGATTATGTCTTTTGCATCTATCTATTATATTTATCCATTCCATGTATATAATGGGCTTTATTTAATCTGTAAACACTAAAACCAAAATGGGAAAATAAAATCAAATGAAATTCTAATCTGGTCAAATCTCCAATGCTAACCAGAAGAATTTTCCATACACAAAGGTACCAGAGATTGCATGTTGCTATAGAGTAACATCCAGGTTCAGTATCTTACTCATAATTCCAGACTTGTATGCTAATGGAATTTTTTTCTTCTATAATACCCTTCTGAGTGTCAGTGAAGTAATAAATTTGGAACAATTTCTCATGAATCCCGATTTTCCAAAAATATTCAATAGAAATAGTTCTAACTAATCGGTCCAAAACCATGTTGAAATGTTTTATGTGAAAAAGTAGTCTCAGTATTGTTAAAATAAAGTACTTCAAACATATTGGGATGAAATTTTGGACAAAGTCTTTTACTATTTCAAAAAGAACGTTGCTGAGAATTTTATTTCTAGAGAACTTAAACATATACCAGAGATAATTGGCCTTGCTACAGAAGTGACTGTGCTGCAGTGGCCCACAAAGAGACTGTTGAATACAGCACTGCGTGCTGTTCACTCAGTGTTAAATATGAAGTGCACATTGCTTATCTTGGGTTCAGACATCATCCTCAAAATACAGTTTGGGGAACTGATAAATAACTTCACACATCCCTGTTTGGATCAACAGAGGGTACATCATCAAAGAAGTCAGTTTCTGTTTCCACCACTCAGAAAGAAGAAAGGGAAAGTTCATCCAACTGACTATTGCAAAATAAAATTTCTGAAAGAATTTTTCCTGGGACAACTTTACTGCATTGTTAGGACTCCAATCTTGCACACTCTTTGTTGTAGAAATGGTTCATAACCCACATAAATAATTTCCCTGTCATCAGTGACACCAGTTATGAGAGCAAGGATTCTTCACACAGGCACAGCTGTGCATAGTCAGACTCAACTTTTTAGGACATATTAATCCTCTCTTAAGTCACTCTTCTCAATGCTACAGATTCTAAACATAGATATGGATCAGGGTGGAAAGGGTTCTTTTATTCAAACAATTCCACCTAATACTCCTAGCTCCCAATGTGTTTTATAACATACCATATGAGATTTAAAATTAACATAGTTCTCTTCAGCCATGAAAACTCAGATGACAGCTTGCAAAAGTGTTTATAAATACAGCATATGTCACACCCACTCATCTCTGTAGAGCACAGTCCTCATCTTTATATGGGCAAAACATAAACAGGCATTAAAAAACCAATAAAATTCACCCTATTTCAGCAATACTTTAATGTAATTTCTGAGAGAAATGAAATCCAGTTGGCTTTATTTCAAAACATTAGAGTGAAGAAAACATTTTTGGGAGTCTCACCACTACGGAGAAATTCTAGCAGTGACGCAATGCCAGAAGTAACTGTGTCACTAGACCAGCGAGACTGCGCCAAAGCATGTAACCAAAAATTGTTTTAGAAACACTGAAATTTCTCACATAAAGCACTCAGCATTTTTAATCTATCATAAAAGCCTGTAAAATACTCAATGCAAGGGCAATAAAATTCATAGGCATATAAAGTGTTACCAATTTCAGGGTATTGTACCAACATTAAATTTTGTAAATCCCTACGAAGTAGCATAGAAGTAACACTCAGGGGTTTAGTGCAGAAATTGAACTATACAGGTAATAAGGCCATGACTGAACAACACTCACACATCCTTAAATTTCAGTTAGTAAATTGGACCGTGTGCTCAACATTAAGCAAAAACTGAAAGGCTGATCAACTGATAAATTAGCTCAAGCGCTCTAAACTATGTCAGTTGTAGCACCAGGTTTAGACTTTGAAAGTGTCCACTTCCTCTTGCTAATTTGGGTTCATTCATCAACCTGTATGGTAAAAAATGTTTGGTGGCATCATCTGCAAAAAATCCTTAATATTAGCGCCTGTTTCTTTATGCATCCTCTTAAAAACTGATACTATTAAAATTTCAGGTAAACCATTCTCAATTCATGGCCTTCCTCACTACCTCAATGACAAAAGATTTTGCTGCCTACCTCTGTAGTCAGACATCTGTCTGAGGAACTAGAACAGGAGAGTTTTGTTCTCGCTGTGCATGGCAGGTCAGGGCAGGAATGGCCAGGAAAACAAGCACTGCTCTCAGGTATGGTCGGGAATGCAAGTGATGTTCCCACCCATTGCCAGGCCCAGTATTTTGGAAAGCTGCAGAAAGCTTAAATGGCAGGGGAGCCAACACTGTCAGAAGCATGGAAAGGCCACACACACTATCTAGTAGTGTCCTTTCCTCAATTAAAATACAAATTGGAGATTTCTGACAGATTAGGACTAGAAACTTGCAATAAGGAAAGCACAGCCAGCCAAGCTCTTGTTTTCCCTTATGCACAACGCTGTTACCAACCAGGCACATTCTTTGTGTTTATCCCATTCCCCAGAAAACTCTGGAGGAAAACGAGAGACGTGCAAAAGACGTTAGTTGACAAAACCTACCTGTACAACATTCCTCCTGGGGATCCAACGTGCTGCTGCAGGAGCCACGGCAGGGCCTGGGGACGGTCTCTTCTTTCAAGTGAGCAGCTTGGTGCAGAGCCCGGGGACCACCGGGCCGGTCTGTTCTTTCGGGTGGGTCAGGCTTAGCCTTCTCACTCTGCCCAGGTCTGACCGAGAAGTCACAGCTAGCACAGGAATGTCGCTTGCCTTTGCAAGCAGGAACGGGCTCATTTCTCATTGTGAGGTCAGCATAAATATCCTTTTACGGATACACGTAATCATGTATGTTTTATATATATATCTGTATATAAGCCGTAGTTGGGTCTAGAAATCTGTATTTGCCCTCATCAGCTGTTCCCCAGGCCCGCCACCCTTCAAACTAGTCAGCGAAGCCCCGGACGCGCATTCCGGGCAAGCACTTCCCGGGAGGGAAGGAGGGATGGAAGGAGCGGCGGCGGCGGCCGGGCGGGGACTGCGGGCGCTGCGGCCGGGAGAAGCTGGTGACAGCTCGGGGCTCGGGGGCCGGCGTCCTCCGCCCACGGGGCGGGCCCTTGGGCAGGGACATGTAAAGCCAGGCACATGGACGAGAGAGGGCGGGATGGGGAGCGGCGCGAACGGCGTTTCCCGGGAGCTGCTGAGAGCGCCGGGGTTCAGCCGCGGAGCGGGGCGTGAGGAGGCTCCCAACGGGTGCCTGGTATTGATTTTACTGGGCTCTTTGTTTTCCAAAAGGAGATGAAATATCAAGCAAGGCAGCCGAGCGCTGTGATTGTTCCCGTGCTGACGTGAACCAAGTGCAGCGTCAGCAGAAATAGGTGTTGCGGTCCCCTCCTTCCAGATGTCCTGCGAGTTCAAAGCCTCGCCCGTGCCTCCTGCTGCTCTCTTAAATGACAACAGCCCCAAATTCTTCATGTGGGAGCAATTTCAGGCCATTTTATTTTGCAGGCCTGGCGTCAAACTTTCTGTAATCATAACAGTTAAAGAAAAAAAGGTAGGCATTTGCTAAAAGTTCATCAGAATCATATGTACAGTCAAATCTAGGTTCTCCACACAGCCACTATCAGATGTTTCACAGAAAAAGATGTAAGAAGTCCTAGAACAGGCAGATGCTCAGTGATTTTCCATAATTATGACACCCAGTGTGTGTCATAACTTCTGAAGTTTTAATGTTTTATACTTATATCACATATTCTAGTCACCTTCTAGGATAAACTCTTTAAAATTTTTTGATCATTATTGCTCTGAAGTGTGCCATTTTACCCCCGCTGTAATAGGATCACGTAAAAACTTTTACGTGAAAAAGACCTCTAAGATCATCGAGTCCAACCCTTAACCCATCACTGACAAGTCCACCACTAAACCATGTCCCCAAGTACCACAACTACACATCTTTCAAATACCCCCAGGAATGGTGACTCCACCACTTTCCTCAGCAGCCTGTGATGACGACCCTTTTGGTGAAGCAATTTTTCCTAATATCCAATCTCCTAGATCAACTTGAAGCCACTTTCTCTTGTCCTATTGCTTGTTACCTGATAGAAGAGGCTGACCCCCAGCTGGCTACAACTTCCTTTCAGGTAGTTGCGGAGAGTGATAAGGTCTCCTCTGATCTTTTTTTTCTCCAGGTTAAACATCCCCACTCATCAAACTTGTGCTTTAGACCCTTCCCCAGCTTCATTGCCCTTGTATGGACACACTCCAGACCCTCAATGTCTTTCTTGTAGGAAGGGACTCAAAATATAGCATTTGAGGTGCAGAACCATCAGCCTTAAATGTTAGTATTGGGTGTTTTTGGGAACTTCAATTATATGTGCAGCCTCTATCTAAACCCTACTAAGCCTTTGACTTGATGTGTGCATTATGTCAGAACATTCCACAGTCATCGTACTGCATGAAGTTTGCCAGTTTTTATTTTCCAAATTTCCAACTTAAGTTGAATGCTGCCTGATAAGCATTATCTTCAACAGATTAGTATTATCTGCAACAGATTAGTATTATCTACAGCAGTCCTATTCTAGCTTCTGAACAACGTTTTAATGTTTTATACTTATATCACATATTCTAGTCACCTTCTAGGATAAACTCTTTAAAATTTTTTGATCATTATTGCTCTGAGAATTGCTTCTGCTTCTGTTACAGTTTTCAAGCCTCAAATTCAAGAACACTCTTCTTTAGACTTAAGAAGTGTCTAAATAATTGACATATATCCTTACTTTTAGCATTTCATTTATGAAAATGGAAATTAACCAAGAGTTAGCTTCTCCAAGAGTAGTTTTTCATCACATCATGGTGAAATTAATTTTGGATTAAGAGAGAGAACAGTAAAAAGCAGAGGAGTTGGCTGGGTCTATTCTTGATTAGTCACGAGATAAATTCTTTATTTCTTCAGGCCTCCAAATGGTGCAAGGTTCTTTTGTAGGCAAAGTAACAATGAACCCTAGACCAAAGTCATTATAATCTAATTATGAGTCTAGCAGTTTTGTGAACACTCAATTGTAAAAAACAAAAGCAAGTGTTTGCAATCAGCATTCAGTAAAAGTTCTGAAAATGCCTGCACGTGTCCTGCTGTCATTTTAACCCCTTCCCACACTTCTTTTCTCAGACCATTTCAAATGCTGTCTGTGTGACAGACTTTCTGGTCTGCCTGTCTGTTCAGTTGTTTGGTACAGCTGAACAGAGGGGAGCTCAGTGAGGTAGCTGAGTACATCCCTATTAATGCTCACAGCACGTTCTCCTTTCACCTGTTCCAAAGGCACGGCCAAGAGCTGGGGTTGCAATATGTTTGGTCTTTAAATAGGAAGGACATTCAAAAAAGTCTCCTTTTCTCCAAACTGGACAAACCCAAAGTACTCAGATGCTCCGTCAGATTTGTTGGCCTCTGTGAGACCTTCACATCCTGCTCCACCTGCAGGGCCCAGCACTGCACACGGTGAGGCCGCACAAGGCTGAGCACAGCGGGATCATCCCCTCTCTGGGCCGGGTGGTTGTGCTGTGTTCGAAGGATCCTGGGATGTGTTTTCCCCCTGGGCTGCCGTGCCACACTCTGCTGACCCACACTGAGCTCAGCACCAGCCAGGCCCCCACATCCCTCTCTGCAGGTGTCCAGCCACTCCTCTCCCACTTTATACCTGTGCCTGGTGTTACTCAGTTGCAGGTGCAGAATCCAGCATTTGGATTTGTTAAATTCCATCCTATTAATGATCGTCCAATGCTTCAATCTATCTAGATAGCTCTGCAAGGCCTCTTGTGCCTCAAGAGAGTCCATGGCACCTTCCAGTTTGGATCATTAGCAAATTTTCTAACAGTGCATTCACCTCCTGCATCCAGATTGTTACTACATGGAACAGAATTGACCCTAGAATTGAGCCCTAAGGAACACTGCTGGTATATGATCACGAGTCAGATGTAGCCCCATTTGATCCAGTTCTTCACCCAGTGCACCGTGAACCTGCTCATCCCACAGCTGGACAACTTGCCCAGGAGGATGCTGTGAGGGACAGTATCAAAAGTACTACTAAAGCCCAGAAAAAATGCCTTCCCTTCACCCACCTCATAGGTGACCTTATCATAGAAAGATATCAAATTAGTTGAACATGACTTTCACTTCTTGAACTCATGTTGACCGTGCCTGATTGTTTTAAATGCCTTTCTTCCCACTCTCTCCCCCCTATATGCTCTGTTTTCATACCAGGAAAATCTAAGCAGACACAGACCTGTAGCTCCCTCCAGGACATCCTCTGAATGCAGGGCAGGAGGGCAGGGCTGCTTTAATACCACACACAAGTGCAGACCCAGACCTCCCAGAGACAGAGCTGTTCCCAGTATGTTTTTCTCCTCTGTGCAGATGCACACATCCCCGCTGCTAGAGTTCTAACTTCATATTTTGCAATATTAAACCATTTGTTCTTTAACAAGCCCAAGTTCTTTAATAAGCCCAAGTTACAAAGCCAACTAGACAATCCACTTCAAAATCATGAAGCCATCCATACAGTGTTGATGTAAATGTAGAACAGCTGCATGCTTCCAATCTTTAGAAAAACCCAAACATTTCAATGGTCATTTCACAAAGACAGCTACTTTTTGAGCAACAGCAGTCAATTTTTAATTCATTCTATGTGAATGAATTAAAGTAAAGCTTTCTAATAAGGACAGTACTAAATCAAGTCTTGCAAAACTTTATTTGAAAATATATAAGGGCAATATCATTAATCCAGGCATAGATGTATGGAACAACTTTTACTCCAGAGCCTATTTTTATGAATAAAGTTGAAATATTTGGACCTTTACTTTAAATCACTCATGATAACTTGCAAGACAACAATAATTACTTTGATCTAACATTTTAGAGTGTGTCATGAGTAAGTATCCAACAAATGACTCAGTACAGTAGAAAACCTAGCAAAATACCTCAGGCATTTCTGGGTTTCAAGTGGGAATCAAGAAAAGAATTGTTGACTAATACTGTAAGATATGTTAATACCTTGAGGAAAGCACATTCCAGTTCTCTGTATCCAAATCCCTATTGCCTGAAGTTACACCTATCTAATAGCAGGAACTTAAGTAAGGCATCTAAACTAAGAGCCACATTACTCTATATCTACACTGTACCTCACAGAAGGTGATTATTGGGACCCACCCCTGAGGCAGGGCAAGCATGTTCGTTGTTAACAGATATCTAGGGGTGGATTAAAGAGAAATGACACTAAATAACTGATATAACTGATATCTAATAAACTGATTTTATTAGAATAACTGCTTTGAAACTGTAAGTGGAAAAACCCATAACACATTAGAAAAGGAGTGTATAGCCATTCTGGAGTATATGATCACCCTAAGAGAGGAAAATTTGAAAGAGAAAAATAGAGAAAGATAGACAGGAGAAGAGATAGAAAGATAACACCACCCATGGCTCCAGCAATGCCTGGGTGACCATGGTCCGTGGTTGGGATGCGCAGTCCTGACCTGTTGGGGGTGGGGCCCATGTACACATTGAAAATTGAGGTTTTATAACCCTTATTCTTCCAGTAAACGCCCCAATACCTCCTCCAGGAGTTCTGAGCATGTGCAGTCTTCTTTCTGGAGGATTCCAGAAGTTTGGCAGCATCAAGCTGGGGAGGGATGAGTGTGTGTGTGCCCGGGTGTGCCTGGAGAAAGTTTCTGAACAAAGTTTCTGAGTAAACTTAACTGCAAGGTCCAAATGTTTCGCTACAGTGATTTATTCCAGTGATCTGAACTGCTTCTGGACAGACACTGTCAATCCACTAACTGTGGAAGAAGCATAGACTCTCAAGGTTTTCCTTCAGACAGGTTCAAAGGGAGATGAAGAGTTTCTTGATTAGTCCACACTGAAGCAACTGTCCCTCTGAACTCTGTGGAACATTTTACTATAGCTTATGCATAAACATAAAGACAACATAAACAAAAAGCCAAGAGTTTTAAATATGTGTAGAATCAT